TGCTTGATATTTTTAATTTTGAACAATTAATTTTATTGTCAACTAATTATTTAAGTACTAGCGAAATTTAATTAAATAATTATAGATCAAACAACTACTTATATTCATCATTTCGCTTTGATTTCTTACTTATACCAAAGTTAAATATGTACTTCATTCTTAACATATGAGTATACCATAGTTATGCTAATAACATGGATTATTGCTTCGATGTTAATAACATAGAACTTAAGCACAAAAAATGTCGGTGAATTTAACATCTGATCGCTAATATGTATGATTTTGTTACTAAATATTAATTTTATATGCTTAAATATCATTGAGTAATCTATGTAAATTTCTGGAACTTAATTATGTTTTTTGTTCTCTTGTATAATACGTATAGCCCTCATTTATAATCAACAAAATACTTTGAATATATATCATTCTTAATAGTTATTGCCTATAAATAATTTTCTTACTCACTTTAAACTATAAAAATTTGCTGAAATAAAATATCTCCAACTTTTTTAATGCATATAAATTCAGCAAATTTAATTTGAGTCCGAATCAGAATCACTGGGTGGTAATGGTGAAGGTGCTGCCTTAGCAGGCGCTTCCTCACGTATTGACTTGGCTGTAGCTGCCAAATAAGCATTCACGCTCTCTCCATGTGTCGTTTCAATTCCAACTCTTTAAAAATTTATATGTAATGTTTAAAAAAATATCAATCTGTGTTTTAATGAGAACTATAACTTACTTGTATTCGTGTCTTGCCAAATAGCGCACATATTTTTCAGGAGGCTCATCAGCATCCGAGTCCTGAACACTCACTGAACGTACAGTTGTGTGTGAGACTTGAGTTGCTGGCATTGTGAACTCTACAAATGCATACGGGGCCAATTCACTCGGTATTTGATCATAAGAAGTCAGAGCCATACGACAGACCAGTTGATGTGTAGTATAAGCACCTAAGAAAAAATATGTACTTTGAAGAAATAGTAAAAATATAACTATTCTATAAGATTAAATAACCTTGTCCTTCCTTTGGTAAACGTGAGCAGCGCCAAACAATTGCTCTATGATGATGTTCATATTTAGCCTGACCAGATGTGACCTCAATCAATGATTCTTGCAATGTGTCTACTGCACCCAAAATTCGCTCGATACCCTTAATCTTGCCAGTACGTCTATGCGCTGATTTTACAGAACCGTACCTGTTATTAAGGAAATTAATTAATGCATACTTCGTTGAAAAGTTATTAACTTCATAAATTGATTAAATAATAATCAATATTTAAATATCAAATGATTATATTATATCTATATATATGCTTAAATGTAAAAGGTAAAAAATTTGAACATATAGAAAAATATAACTCTTATACTTTGTAGAGACCAGAAACTGATTTCTTCTTACTTTGATTTTGAAGTCTGTCAAAAATTTTCATTAATTTAATATAATTTTAATTAATTAATTATTTAATATAAACATTTTTTAATTATATATGTATTATATTTTTGTTAATATTAATTAATTAATAATATATTTTCATTTTCCTCGAGTTCACTAATTAAGATATAATGTGTTTACCTAAAATGCTTTTCCACGCGAAACAAGTATATCCAACATTCGGGTATAGGAAAACGAACGGAGACATCTTCACAAGGGATTTGCCCCAATTTACGCGAAGTAAATCCTGGCACTAATATATCTGCACGCAGTTCAACCTTATTACCGGTAACACACCAAGTTGCCTTGAGCTGTAATGGAAGTTCACGATTTTTAGGCGGACGAACGCGGAAACGCAGCAGTTCTATATAATTGGCATCTGGTGGCTGGAATCTATTAAAAATATTTACAGGTAAGTTATTTAAAAGAAGCAACGATAGGTGCAACATACTTAATGGTTCGTGTTCTTTCATATTCTTCCTGATTAACAACACTATGGAATTCCACAGCCTCCAGACGTATCCATTCTTCAGTTGCCACGGGAATAATATCGTGGCGCCCAACTACCTCCTTACCCTGACGCCACATATCATTTACACCCAGTTCGATTGTTGGCATACCTATGAGAGATATAAAATATATTTTAATAATAAAACTATTTTAATTTGCATCATAAATCTAGTCACACCTGTTAAAAATGCTAAAAAGAATAAACGCACTCGAGCAATTTGTTTTAGAATTTTTCCTTCATGGTCCTGATCAACAACGATTTCGTCTACAGCAGTTACTTGCACTTCTTCCATTTTGTAGGTCAAAGCTCGTTCCCTTAAAGCTGTTAATTTAAAAAGTGCCTCCTCTATACACACAGAGAACTGTTTCATATCTTCGTAAGTCATCGATCCAATTTTAAACAACTGAGACGATTGTGGTGCGTGTTCTACAGGTAAGCCGAGTTTCTTTAAATCGCTGCCAAACTCTTTAACACCTTCGTAATCTCCAGCTATCGCATATTGTGCAAATTTAGTCAACTTATTTGTAATACGTTCTGCTTTAGTCACTTGACCAGGCCGCACTCCCGGGCGTTCCTTATAAAATATATATTGCAATTTCATTGTAAAAATTTTGCCAAACTGATCATATTGCTGTGCACCAATTTCAGACACTGAGTACGATGGCTGTAAAGGTAACTCTTGGAAAGCCTGTTTATCGGAAGCTTGGTTAAGTAGTTGCACCACAGGCACATCATTTTGTATCACCAGTCGAACAAAAATCTTTTTCCAAAATCGTTGTCCTGTGATTTTCTTTTTGTTTGGTTGACGTAGTTGCATTTCCCAACCAGGGCCAATGTAATGCAAACGTGGAAATTCTTCTAGTGGTTGAGATACATCCTCATCGAATAATGGAGTTTGTGGTGTATCTTGAGAGTCTGTGCGCTTTATAGTAGTATCAGTAGTTTGAGGAGGAGCTGGGAAACCAGTATCTTCAAATGGATTTGCAGCAGGCGATGTATCACTGGAATACTGACCAGTGACTGTTCGGGCTGGCGGTGGTGGCGGTACCAAGTGTGGTGCAACAACTTGTGCGCCATCTGCTTTAGGTCTTATGACAACATTAAATTCTTTATCTACTGATTCAACGGAATCTTGTCGAACAGGTGCTTGCATAGTATAGAATTCATCATCCTCATTTCCAAAACCATCAACTGCACCATCTCCAAAAGCATTAACACCTGAATTGGGTGTACCGAAGGCACTATCGCCCCAAGCTGAAAGAAAATATAATTTTGTTAATAATTCATAATTTTAATTTAAGCGACTTACCATCAGCTGTGGTAGGTGTAACTGCACCCGAACCACCAAAGCCATCTAATATGCTGATATTATCCTTTTTAACAGAATCAAACTTCGCCGAAAAAGCATCGAATTCATCTGGTTCCGCTGCAAATATATTAGTCGCATGTACTTGTGTGGTAACTATAGGTTCTGCGTCTGTTGCAAAAATATTTATTGTTGCCGATGCTATAGAAGAGTCGACCACTGTTCCCTTGTCTTCACTGTCGAAAATATTTGTAACTGCTGTAGCAGGTGGATACGTTTCTTCCTCATCATCAGGACTTGCAAATGGGTTTGCTGAACCAGTACCACTTGCAATCACAGTTGTTGGTGCAAAATCAAAGCCAGTATCCATTTGTTCTACTTCATACGCTTGATCTGTAGTTGCCTTAACAGGAAACTCTGCTGTTGCTTGTGTTGTAACATTAGATTCAGTTGGTGGACTTTGATCTGACTCCACCGCTGAACCAACAATGGGTTCCATTGATGCATCATCATCATCTTCTGGTGGTGGACTTGGTTCCGTGTCAATTACAACATCTGGTACAGGTTGAACTGTAACCTCGGGTTCATCCTCATCATCTGATCTCGGTAAATCTTCTACTGTTGTTATCTCAATATCTGGTGTGGGAGCGCGTTGCCTATTCGTAGTTTCTTGAGGTGCGATAGTATTTCTAGAGTTTTGATAAGATTGTGCTGCTTGTGGTTGAGATGAAATATCATGTGTACTTTCATCAGGTCTTGTAAGAGTTGAACTAAAAACAGGATCTACTTTTTTGTCGACATCTGCTTCTGGCTGGACTGCTTCAGGCTCAAGTACAATATCATCACTAAGTAAATCCGGTTTCGCAACTGGTTCTGTTGGCTTTTCAAATAAACTTAAAATATCTTCCTTACTCTTAGGTGGTGGAGGTTTTGGCGGCTTAGATGTGCCAAACATATCAAATAAGTCTTCGGAATCAGCTGGTTCGTTTGTAATTTGGCTTGGTGGTGGTGGCCGTTGAGGTGGATTATTCATAACACCTGGTGGCGCCGGTCGTGGAGGTGCAGGTCTTGGTGGAGGAGGTCTTGGTGGTTGCTGCTTAGCTGGTGAAGGCATTGGAGTTGCGCCTTGTATAGTTGGTATGCCTGTAGGAATTCCGAATGGGTTATCGTTGCTGTTCATACTGCCGATTAGGTCTACATCAAATCCTTGTGTATTTGCTGAGGATCCGCTATCCGATACGTCAAGTAAGTCAGCCAATCCCGAATCTGGTGTTGGACTTGGAGAATGTAAGTCTCTCATTGATACAGGACTTGGAGATCTCGTAGCTGGTATGCGTCCAAGTAATTCTGAACTTGCTTCTTCCATTTGATTTGAAACCGTATTTATGAGCTCCTGTGTTTGTGGTGGAACTGGTCTTGGTGGCGGCCCTTTCTTCACATGTTCATCGTCTTCTTCAACTGTAGATTTAATACTAAGTGTGTCATCTTCTGCTTCTATAGTTGTACCAAAGAAACTCATAGCTGGGTCAATATCTGTAGGAGGAGCTGTTTCCGTTTCATCACCGAATGCAAATGGATTGGATATCTGCCCTGCAAAAGGATTGTCAAATGCTTCTTCTTCATTGCCATCACCTTGTAATAAAAATGGATTTACAGCAGCATCACCACCATCGGAACCACCTAAATCATCATCCATTAAAAATGGGTTTGCCATTTTGAAATATTATTTGAAAACTGTTGGTTTTTTTTAAACTCGTTTATTTCTAACGTTCAATAAGTTCACTTTCTAACAATTTTATTTCTGTTTCTCCTGGTGCAAGATTTTCAGCAATTGAAGTATCAAAAGGATCAATATCTTCTGGTAATGTTAATTGCTTTACTGGTACAGATGGTGTTAATACTTTATCACCCAAGCCTAGTTCCTGAGCGTCTGTTTGCAAATCGAGTACTCCAGTAGTCACTTCTAATTCAGAACTTGGCAGAAGTTCACTTTCTAATAGTTTCAGCTCAGCTTTTCCTGGTTGAAGATTTGAGGCAATTGATGTATCAAATGGATCAATAACAAGTTCCTCGTCAGCTAAGTCTTTACTTTCTTGAGCCGGTGTTAATACTTTAATATTTATGTTTTCTTTAACTGCCAGTAACTCCTCTGCTGAAACAGGTGTTGGTGGTGCTCTTGGATCAAAATCTGGATCTGAAATACTATGTTTTAGTGTCGACTTTGTTAATAAATCTTTTTCTAGGTGCTTGAGTTCAATCTCTGTTGGCTTTGTTTCTGGTACGTAAGATGTATCAAAAGGATCTTCTGATTCTTTTTCGGGAATCGTAGTAGCAGTTGGTGCGTAGTACGGTGTTAATGGTTTTTTGTTTCCTGAGCCGTCATTAGCTATGGAAAGCAAATCTTGATCAGGAACTAAAAATGCAACACTTTTAGATTGTATATTTAAACTCAAGGAAGACTTACGACGTGCAGTATCGAAATCAGCCTGCGGTGGTTGTATCTGTATTACTGATGCAGTTGCTTGTGTGGATTCTTCTGCACGCGGATCAAAATCAGGATCACTAAGGGAATGTTTAAGGTTATTTTCTGTTAAGAGTTCCTTTTCAATAAATTTTAGTTCTGTTGCTTTTGGCTGTACTAGAGCAGAAATTGCAGAAGTATCAAAGGGATCGAAGTTTTCAATGTCGTTCTCAACTACTTCTTGAGTTGGTGCAATGGGCCTTGGACCTACTTTCGATAAGTCAGTAGCGCTGCCCCCTAACAAATCACGTGTAGGTTGTGAGAGTAAACTTGCAGATGGTGGAGGCGGTTTTGCAGGTGGACCGGTCTTTTCTTCAGCACGAGGGTCGAAGTCGTCGTCTTCTTCTAAAAGGGTAGTCTTTTTAATAACTTGTTCTGCGTACGCAGTGTTAAATGGATCGTCGTCTAAATTGTCGTCTTCGTTATCGCTAACGTATATAGCACCTGGTACAATATGTGGACCGCTTGCTGGCCGTACTGGTGGTGGTGGTCGACTTGGTTTATCTGTAGAGTATAAAAATTATAAATAAAAAATAATTTCTTTTGACTTAATTGTTTACCTTTTCCTACTTCTGTTGTGTTTTCTTCGGGTGTCTTTTCAAACTCTGCCCAATCAGATTCAAAAGTTTCACTTAAAACTTCTGCCTGTGGAAGTGGGATTTCTGTTATAACTTTGACTTCTTCTTTTTTTATCAATGACTCTGCTGCTAATTCAGCAAACTCGTCATCTTCATCATCTTTTAAAGTATCAAACTCTGATAAATCAAAATTAGTATTTACTTCTTCGTCGTTTTCTTCGTTCTCTACCTTTTTTGGTGGAGCAAAATTTAAATGTAAAGAAACACTTAAGTCGATTGGGGCATCAGTTTCAGGCACATCATCAACAAGCTCATCAAGTAAGTTCTTTTGTGGTTCAACCGCTACAATATCAGCTTCAGTGTCGCCAAAATCAACACTTTCACTTAACAAAAGATTCTGTATGCCTTTACGTTGTTTGCGTTTAGGTTTGGATAAAGCTAACGCGTGCTCACGATCAACACGGCCAGAGAGTACCTCAACAGCCGCACCTAAGCTGACAAGCTTTTTATTACCCTTAGTTTTATCTGCGCCAACAATTACTTTCTCAGCGTAAGCAGTATCGAACGGATCAGGACCCTCGTCGATTTCAAGTACTGGTGATTCAGGAACAACGGCTAGTTGAACTTCACCACTTGTTATAGCTTCAATATAATCTGTTGCAAAGATATCATCAAGTACTTCCTCGTCTTCAGGTTCTGATTCTGATAATTCAACTACAGCCTCTGCAAGCTTATCACGCTGAGCCTCAAGCTCTGCCGCCTTACGACGTTCTTCTTCTAAGCGCTCTGCTTCCCGCTTAGCGGCTTCCTCTTCTTCAAGTCGTTTCTTTTCAGCTGCAGAAGGTAAACGCTGGTAGAAGGATTCTTTTTTTATGCGATCAAGCTCGTCTTGTGTTTTATGAAGTATAGTATCAACACCAGAAGTTAGTGCCTTAAATTTTGCCCACTCTTCGTCTTCTTCCGATTTTTTGACAGTTGTAGCGGTATCAGCACCGTCAGCGGTGCTTTCAGCTGCTTGAGTAGTAGCAACACTAAAACTGCTACCACCAGCGACTGAAACAGATGCTGTTGACGCTAAACCTTCAACGTCTGATGCTGCGTCTGATTCACCAGCGTCTGATTTAGCAGCAGCAGCTTCTTGCTTTGCTTTAAGGTCACGTTTATATTGTTCGAGTTCCTCTTCAGTGAAGAGTTCTTTATCTTTTTTTGACTTCTTCTTTTTCTTCTTTAAACCTTTTGGTAACTTAAGCATTCTCTAATTGCGGAGACATCGAAATCGGTCTAACAAATATGTAAAAATATTATATTTTAAACTTTTAGTAGAAAGGAATAAAATGCATGCAAACAGGGCAATGTAACGAAATAAATTAGTAGATAAGAAAATAATTTAAAAATATAGTATATATATTGGAAGTAATAGATTTCTTAAAATAGAAATCCTTGAACTCACACTAACCTTAAACTTCGATTATTTTCACCATACATGCGTGATAAGAGTTCGATACGGAAATAATCTCAAAAAAGGAAGCTTACAAGTAATATTACATAATCTAATATATATGTACATTCTAATAACGATTTTGTAAACATATTTACAATCAATTTTAAATGATGATTAGTTGGAATTTTTTGAAATCATTGAAACCAATTGTAGGAAGTTCGGGGTATAAATTTTTATGACTCACCACAAAGTCGACCTTTTTGTTTGTCCTTTAAAAATATATAGCTTTTCAATATTTGTAAATTAATTTTATGCCTTCTTCCTTTTGCATATTAGTATAAATATGTTACATGTATACAATTTATAAATAAAAATTAAATTCTCTTAATAATTCACCACACACAATGAAAATCACTTTTATTTTAATTGCTTTTGCCATAAATTTCATAAAAACCACACGTTGCAATGGTGGGTTTCAATTGCCACCACCACCACAAAGTTGCGCTGACAATTACTGCTGCTAAAGCACCGCAATGAATAGAGAAAAAAATGTAGGCAAAAGTTGTCGAAAATACACACAATAGAGCACATACACGGGAAATATGCTTTTTCTTACTTTTGAAAAATCGATTTTTACACCACTCACCATTGCAAAATTAACAGTAAGGAAAATTTAAACTAAATGCATTCAATAAAAATTCAAATAAGGAAAAATTACTTTAATATTTCAAAGGTGAAAAATAAGAACTCTTTTAGGAGAACAAAATAAAATGCTTAAAAGAGGAAATGCAGAAAATTGGTAAAAATCGAAATTTTCTTCTTGCATTTTTTTTTTTTTTGTTCTTAATTTCAACACCAAAATTACAAACGATGCAAAATTCTTTTTATAAAAAACTTACGTCTCTCTTTTGTAACAACTAAAAAGCGTTTATTTCATTATTTGTTCATAAATAAATTAATTAAATTTTTTTCTCTAACTGTAATTGTCTTTTTTGAATTTTCACTTCTACTACGACATGAATTATCGGAAAAACTCGTACTGAATGATGAAAATTGCGAAATTTTCAAATGACAGTTTCTTGCTATAATTTTCTAAAAGCTTATTAAGCTTAACCCAAAAGCTTTTATCACTAACACTTATGCAATTTAAAAATTATAGGAAACTGACATCTGTCAAAACGTGTGTCAATGTATTGGTATTAAGCCGGTGCTAGTTTAAATCGTAAACAATTGTTGTTTTAAGTATTTTTTATGTATTAAAAAATTATTTTTACATTATAAATACATAACGAAAACGTTAAATGTGTTTCGATAATCTATTTACTCAACATTTTTTAACATGACAATTCACCTCAGAAAAGTAATTAAGGTTTAAACATTTGTAAACAATCCCTTTAGGAAAGGCGACAGTAACGGTCCGACGAGTAATAACATTTGACATTTGGAGTAAACAAAGCCATTGCGCAGTCGTCAGAAAATTGGTGGAAATTAGAAAGAAGTAATCTGAGAGAAAGAGACACAATTAAATTAACATATGTTAATCAGTTTTATAGCATCTAAAATAAATGACCAAATGCTAATTAAATGTGGACAGTGGGGTCTGAGTCTCAAATTCAGTATGTCAATTTTAACATCGAAAAAATTTGTAGAGACAAAGTTTAAAATCATTTTCTTACTTCGCCTTTTCTTGGTACTGTTAACTGGCACTTTAACTACCCTTCTATGAGAAACCAATCCTACATATTTTTTGAAGCTATAGCTAGTACTTTACATTTTTTTAATTATTTTAATGCATATATTAGAGACAAGTATGACACTAATCGTTGACGTGAGTTGAGTAAATAGGTTTACTTTATAATAGATATAAATACAATTTAGAATGGCACTACATATGCTGGGTAATATTTAAAAATGTGTGACTTTATGGTACTATCGATGCTATAATAATTTATTTTCCTACTTTACAAATAAATTAGTTTTATTTACTTTTTAAAGATACCTTATTTTTATTCATGTTTTTATATATTTTTTTATCTGACCCTTTTCGTTAAACAATTCAACGTTTAATATTTTTTATTATACTCTATATTATACTCCATATAAAAATATTATTTATATTTAAGTAATACGCTATTAAAGCACCCCGACCTAAAAGATCTATTGTGCGCCTAAAGGCCCAACTAGGACAATTTTAGACTATTTATAAATCTTGTAATTGCTGTGGGCTTAATTTTACCTATTTGACTTGAGACCAATATTCCGCTTCCAAGGTAATCGAGTCTACGTCTTGCCACCGCTGGGCAGTTGCATAGAACATGTCCTGATGTTTCCTTCTCTTCATGATAGAGTCGACAGGAGTCACTATCTACCACACCTATAATTTTCATGTGGTAATTAAGTCTACTAATATTAATATTAAATGTTAAATATATATTATTGTCATTCATACCGGACAGATTGTAATAAAATAAATGGATTATAAAAAAAAAAATTTTTGAATTAACAAAAAGGGACCTATAACCAGATTAAAATATATATAAAAACCATTAATTTTTATTTTATTTTTTAATTATTTTTAAAAATAAATTTCATTTTCAGCTATATCAAATTTTTGTAATTTTAAAGTTGAAACAAACTCTTTTTAATTGATTAATATTGCAAGAGCAGAAATTCAAATAAAATCTGCCCGTTTAATCCCCACAACCATTTTCTTTAATAAATTAAATAAAGCATCACTTAAGAAGTCCTTAATTTTAGTATATCCATGAGATATATGCAATAAGAGTATTTGTATTTTTTTGTGTAGTATATTATGCATCCATCAATGCTGCAAGATATTAAACCTTTAAGCCCAGCATTCTTTAAACTGATCATAACCTATTCCTATTAAAATATTTCTAAGAATCTTTCTTTGAATATTTCTTTGAATATTAATAAATTTTTATAGTATAAGAGATATTATAAGGTATAGTATAAGAGCACAAAGAACACATAATAGAATATAACACAACAATAACACTAAGAAATAAGACCAATCGATCTACTAAACACAATAGCTATGGGCTATTATGTTTATTCTAACTCGAATTGCTATCGCTAAGGACCCATGGGCCAATGCATAGCCTGGTAGCCTAATTCATATATTATTACAAACAATTATTACAAACAATTATTATTATATATATATTACAAACAAATATCAGACAATACACTCTTCATAGAAATTAAAAAATATTTAAGTGCTCTGGCAGTGGCTAATAAAAAGTACTTTTTTATAGACAATTTTGACAATTTAATATATTCTTATAACGTAATCCCATATGATATGTAATAGTTTTAAATGTACTATACTTGACTTTACCAATTGTTAATAGTTCTACCTAATTAAACAAATAGAAATTAAATGCTGAGAAAATAATATTTAATGATTAGAAGTTCTATAAACTGGAGTTTCTATAAAGGGAGTTTGCTTACACGGTCAGAAAAACTATAATTTGTAATACCACATTACATTAATTGCGATCTTAGCAAAGACTATACCTAAAAAGCTCTGTTACGTTGCATTTATTGATTCATATAAGCTTCTGGTGACATTAGGCTCTCTAGTATATTCTATGAATTAAAACACTACATTGTGCTCTCTTGTATATTCTATGAATTAAAACATTACATCGCTTGCAATTTTGCAAATTTCTTACTCAGAAAGAGAGACACAAGTACTCATATCAACCAATAAAATAAAAGCCATTAAAACTATATATAATTTTATTTAGTTTACAATTGTAAGAAACACTTTATTATACAATATATATAATAAGACTTAGGTATATATAATAAAACTTTTTTATACAGTTTGTAAAAAAAATATGAAACGTACAGAAATCGCAACTGGACCATCATATAAAATGCCCCTGCAGAAAAAAAAGCACATGCTTATAAGACATAAATATGGTATACCATATATACTAAATTTTTCGTGTATTTCTAAACATATGAAAAATCTCTTTTCATTTATACTGAAATGTTAATATTAATTTCTATATTTTAGTGGTTCTTTTAACAAAAGATTAAAATGTAAAATCATAGCTAAATATCATAATTACATTTAAATCAAAAAGTTTCAGTAACGGGTACTTAGTAATTTTAAACTTTATTTCGTATTATTTTATTATTAAATATTTTCGACTACTCAAATATTCCTTAGTTTAATTTAATATTAATTTTGAATAATTTACCATTTTAACCATGTACCTATTAAATACTAATTTTTTAAATAAAAATCTTGTATATATAACATATATATAACATATATATATAACATATAACATATATATATTATTCAAGTCTCATAACAGAGCACCTCTATAAATTTCTGGCATAGTTGGAAGTATAGTAGTGTAAAAACAACTTCTTTTAAACGTAGGTCCGCAAAACTGACAATTCCATATATATTTAACACGCACTACTTTCAATACACTACTTAATAAGACCTAAAGCTTGACACATCATAAAATAGTTTTGTATATATGTTTATTTTCCCTACATATATCTAGTTTCTTTCACAAAAACTATAATATATATTGTTTTTACTATTTTATTAAGTTTTCTATATATACAGCAACAACATTAAACCAATATATATATGTATTAAGTAATTAAACACAAAAGCACTTTTTTCTGCTGGGCTATTTAAGGAAAATTTATGCACATAAAAATTTATAATTCTCAATCAGTTAAGAAATATTTATATATATAATAGTACATATTTCCAAATACCATCAAAAAGGGTACTCGTCTTTGCACTTCACGTAATGGTTGCAGACGCACCTGCTTCTGTTTTGCAATGGATTGCGATGCTATTTTGCTTGCAGTTCTTGTGCAGAAGTAGTCCGATGGGGTATGGCTTTGCATATCCAGTACATAATTTTTGTAATGCGGGTTAGGTGTACGCTGAATTGCAATTGCTGCAGTAGTTGCGTATAGGTGAATGCCTAAGCTCGCCCAGATACTATGCATTTAAACTTAAATAGAACCCACAGTGCAGAAATTGTAACATCCCTAGGAAACTACACAGGTTTCACTACAATGTGAATTTTTGCTACATAATATACTCTAAAAACGCGTATTAAGGATTTGTCCAGAAATACGGATGAGCTCTACTGTACGTCCATAAAATGAATTTTTCGGAAAAGTGAAAATTGTATTATTTTAGTACAAATTAAATAGACTAATTTTGATTTATTATAGAATTAGATCGCTGGACGTCAGTCATTTAAGAATAACTATTTAAATGTGATATTTTGTCAGAGTTTATTGATATATAGAAAGACGTTTTATGTAAGCGCTTATATAAGATATCTTTAGGTTATTGGCAGATTATATAAACCATTCATTTCTGTACTAGTTATAATCAAATTAGAATTGATCAATAACGCTATTACCATCGTTTCAAAATCAGTAGCGGTCTTATATGTACTGTGTTTTTAGGTTATATTACTTGTATATTCGCAACAAATGGATTAAAATTTATTGGTCTAAGGATCCAATAAAAAATAATTATTGTCTTTTACAATAAAGACGGATAGATGCTTTTTATCTAATTAGATATCATGGAAGTTGCAGTCTCAAAAAATTATTTACGAATAATTAAATACAAGGAATAATTCCAAGATCACTGATGATGGATATTTGGCAATATTTGAAACAGCTGTATGGAAGAGTTAAAAATTCAATTAATTAAAATAATATAAAAATAATTTTTGTTGTTGTAGTTCACTACTTTTCGAAACCTCTCTATTTATTATATATTGCAATTGTCTTTCACAATAAAGATAGGAAGACAAATAAAGATGGATAGATATTATGTATCTAATTACATACATATGTTGAGTTGAGTTCCAATAGTGAGCTGTTATCAACTATGTATCGATAAGTCTTCCTATAGAAAATACTTGAATAATATGATATATTGATATATGATATACTTAATGTCACGGTCCAAGCTTTACATATGTATATCAGAAAAAAAAATTGATCATAATCTAAATATGTTATATGAAGTGTGTTTTATTTATGTTTACTTTTGATACCATTAAGTGGGCAACCCTTTTTAAAATAAAATAAAAAAATGCAGTTTATCTGTAAAAGTGTCTGTAGAAAATACTTGAGCAATGTTATTTCTAGTTTATACGTAGGTTTGGGCAAGAGAAATAGATTGAAATAAAAACTTGTTCGTTAATCTCAATCAGATATGCGTTTTATTTAAATGTACTTTGGATAACCCTATGCAACTTAGTTGTAAATTTAAATATAAAAAAAAACGATTTATCTTTATAACAATATAAATTATTTCTTATCTATTTTTTTGTTCACAGTGTTATGAATGAACAAGTAATTCATACTTGTGAACAATCTACGTTTAAGTCCCGCAAATATTAGATACATTTACATGAAGCAAATATATGACTATATGTATATATATGAAGTATGAATTTCTGCCTGAATTATTTCAGAAATTGAGTGATATTGCAATACTATTCCAAATCGAACTCTTGACAAGTTCCCAATAAAGCAGGTAAGTCCAGAGTATGCTAAATAATTTTATTGACACTACGAACTGTAAATAGATGCGGCTCCATTCCAATTGCTAATAATAGAGACAAATTTTTTAGCAATTGAAGGCACTTATAAGTAAGTAAAAAAAATTAATGATTTATTTTTTAAAAATTTATTGAATTATTCAACAATAAATAAAGTTTTATTTGCTTAAAAAAGTTATAAATTGATTGCTTAGCGGCATTAATAAAATAATTATTAATAAATACATTTATAAAATTTACATGTAATATACACGCACAAATACATTTAAGTTTTTATACTGCACAACTATAAAAAATTTGTTTATAAAGTACACAGTTTATAAAGATAAATTAAGGCACTAAAGTTCTCTTTCAGCTTAGATACAAGTGAACTTAAGACTAAAGTTAAGATTAAATTAATGATTGTTAAAATTACTATCAATGGCATTTAGCATGAAGGTGACTTTGGGTACTTCTAAGGTGACTTAAAGTTTTAATGAAGATGCTTCAATACTTATTTTTACAAATTCAGTGAAATTCAGCTTATTTAAAGCAATTTTGCTAAAATTAAATTTTGATTCTCGGAGTTAATCGACAACTGTCGCCTAACCACCATTGTTCGATGTTGCGATAGGTTTGCGTCTTTTGCTGATTTGTAACGCTATGAAGCTGCGCGCATAGTTCGCAGAAAGGTGAAAAGTAACCCAGTTTATAGTGCTCTCGCCACCAGAAATAACGCAAGTACTCTTTCGGATGCGTGGATAAATATTTAAGATACATTGCTAGTTGTTCGACACTTTCGAATTCTTCTGCATTTATGTACGAACGCGGTGGTAAAAATAGTTCGTAGTTTGCACCTCCATAGACAATTGGTATAACCTGTCGTCTCAGTGCATTGTATATTTTCTCCGTCACATAATCCCGGCATAATGAATTCTCAAATGATAAATAAAATTTATATTCCTTGTCAAGCATCTCATCGCATTCACTTTCCTTATATGGACAACTGCAAATTAAATTAAAGAGAGATTAATAATTTTTTAATATTTATATTATAATATTTTCACTAACAAATGTTTAATTTATAAATGTTAATGTTGCATAAATGTATAAATATTTAATAATTTTAATTAATTCAATTATAATAATCATTCTTATACCATGTTTCTACTGCTCACTTAGTAAATTACTTGAGTAACTAAGATTTTATCGTTTACATTGATAAAAGTTACTCATTGCATTTTTTTTTATTTATTAATAAAATGTCTTTATAGAATCACTTTAAATTAAAGCCTAACAACAAGTTTTAGAATTTTAAGGACTAATAACATTACATTACAAATTATTTTAAAAAACATACTATAATGATTTGTAAATTATTTAACGAGGCCTTGGAATAAGTAGCCAGGTCTTAAACAGGATAATCCTTAGGAAAGCAAAATGGCAGTCTATCATTCCGTTTCAGCCTAGAGGAATTTATCATATTAGTAAGAGGTCTAGCCAGCGAATTCACATGGTTTTCAAGATTTGAAACATGTTTCTGCCTTATTTTCTTGATTTTAACCATCGGAACTTCCAAATCGAAATGTATGCTCTCATTTCTAATAAACTAGGGTGCACCGCCCATCTGTCTTAGAATCATTACTTGAGCACTTTGCAAAATTTTTACGTTTGACGAACAGGCATTGCCATATAACTTATTGCATGTGAAAGGAATTTTATGTGTGAGAAAGTTCTTTAAAAATACTAAGAGAGCTTATGTTAGTTTAAAAAAATTTCACTCATTGTAATATCTCATAAGAAATTAAATATACAATTGATATATTAAATTATTTAAGTATGTATACATATATTTTATAAATCTCTTATATACTTAATTTATAAAAACAAAGATTTTATTTAATACATACACCTTCAGTGCGTTTGTTTACAGCTCAGCTGTTGTTTGTTTACAATTTACATAATAATATTGTAACGTATATTTAAAATTTTGGTAATTTCCCCTGTGGGAACTTTATTTTTAAGGGTTGCATTCAACATATTTTGCCTTAAATGAGCTGATTTATTGCTAATGAGCTGCTTTATAGTAAAGCTTCTTGTATGGATTTACCATACATCCTCATTAGTGGCTATAATGAACAAAATCGCATAAATGAGACAGTGTGAATATGCAATTAACTAAGCTAAAAAGGATGAATGCTCTTTGTATGGCTAATTAAACTTAATTAGCGAGCTTAAGTAGATAAACTGGTCTAATGAAGGCAGTGGAAACATATAATATTATAGACCAGAATGCATATGGAAGTTATTTTCCCTCACTACCTATTTGTTAATATTAATATTATTAATGTTTGTATATACGTTATTACAATAATTGTTCTCAATTACATTATGAGACCATACTATGTTATATATGGTATTTCTCTACAAAATA